CTTCTCGCCGTGTATACACTGACCAACTGCTGCATTATAGATTTTCCGGCCCTGAAATAAGAACTTCTGACGAACTGTGCAACTTTAGTAGGCTGGCTCACCAGTTTTATGGGCCGAATATGATGGTGAAGGAAAAATTCTCGAAAAAGAAAAAAAAAAAACCGAAAGGATTGCCTCTACTATTGCTACATATTCTGAAGAAAAACATTCTCGGAGTTGTTGTCAGCTAACAGAGTCTGCTCTAAGATATGATATTAAGACTGAGACATTGATTCTCAATACAAAAGAGATTTAGATCCAGCACCGTCCGGGACACTTTCTGAGGTTCTTTGTTATGTAGACGTGGTAGAGCTGCAATTCATTGGCCGATTCTCAGCTGTGCAGCTGCCGGTTTTTCCAATTGCTTTGACTAGTGCTACATCATCTGCTTGTCAGCATGCTGACGACCCTGACAATCGTTTCAGTTCCTGAAGAGATAACCAGTGCTTCTGCGGGCAGAAACAGCTGGCAGAAATTCTTCCGACAGAAATATATGACAAGGATTTCTAACCCCATTATCATCCTGCTCACCAAAAGCGAAGGTTTAAGGAGATAAACAGAAGTGGGTTTCAGATGCTTAGTACTTACCAGTAGTGACCACTCCTGATGAGCTCCTTGCAAGTGACATTTCAGAAGTCGTGGCCCCTGCAAAATTTATCACTTTTACTATTTCATGGGAAAGAAATTTCGCAAGAGGTTCCACTAATAATCTGCATCGTGCAAATCGTTGTATGCTTGCTTCCATCTTAATTGTCAGTACTGCATGTTTGCATCATTTGGTGCCTCAACAGGGCTGTGGTGTTTGTAGATAATCCGAAGGAAGAAAGAGGACCGAACAGAGATATAACTGCTCCCCGATTTACTTGCCTTCAGCGAGTCGAGGCAGAGCATCGCAGAGCCCATCGGACGGAGTTCGCCAATTTTCGTCCAGCGCCAAATTTGATGACGGTCTCCTTTACGACAATACTCGATGGAAATGCGGCTTCCTCGTACCAGTCGACCATTGGTTGACTCAGCCGTCAAGCACAGGCTTGTATTATACAGTGCAATCTGAAAGATCAATTTCTCATGAATATGGCCAGATGGTACCTTGCCTAGATGTTGCTCTACCGGCACAGTCAACTGTTGTTCGAGTTTTATTGCTTGTCAAAGCCAAAACCCTCTTCCTATTCAATCCATATGATAAAGGAACAGAGGTGCCAAAAACAATCGCTCGCCGGCAAGGCCTTCGAATGATTCCGCCTTTTGGAAACTGCTTGGTAGCAAACTCATGGCGTGTTTGACTCCCAAGATTGTGCCAGTACCAATTTACCATCAAAATGAATGAAGTCTTAGAGGAACTGGTTCTGCCGGCAGAGTCGGCGCTTCATGTTTCATCCAGTACGAGATTATCGGCTACTTGCCGTTAGTTTGTCGAGGTCAAAGAACTTACGCGATATTTGGTAACATTTTTGTTCCGTAGCAAATCGGATTTTTTGAGATCCACCATTGTTGGATGATTGTTTGGCAATAATTCTGGATAGATATTTTGAAGGTACCACAGGAAGGATTTACAGTGCAGTTTTTTACGTAATTGTTTCATTTCTGATATATCGCCTATGTCAGTACCACGCAGTTGTGGCCTCGTCGCATAAAAAGTGTCCTGAAACCGAAGAACTGTTCATGACTGAAAGGAGCCGAAAATGTGGAGTTCATTTTTTACTGGGTTTTCGTTGACTTTCCTGATACTACTGCATGTGGTTGCCATTGGCACCCTTATGTTGGGAGCCATTATTAACGCATTACCCAAAATAATATGATGGATAAGGCGGACTATTAAACGGTACCCACGCAGAAAAACCGAGGAAGGCCACTAATGCGATAAAAGAATCCGCTCGAACACCATATGAAATTACGTGGATGAGAATCGTGCAAAATAAAGAGGGGAGAAGCTGCTTTTTCAGACTGATGCATCAAAATAAGATTACATAATGGTGTAGTATGGGTATTGCCAGGGCATTACTCCAGTTCTGCCATACAAAAAATTAGGCTTATTTTCGACGTTTGTTCTGTTGTGAAGTACCGGAAGGTTGTATCGCTAGCCGGATCCATCTTAAACTGACAACAGAGTTGTCTTTTTGATCTGTGTTAATGCTTAACAGTACTTACGAGGAACTCGTCGAGCCAGATATTGGCCGCACGAGCAGCATTACGACCCATCGAATCAATTCCTGCCCCGTAAGGTCGACGCTGACGGAATATATGACCGACTCGACTGCACGGAATTATTTCCAGACGGCCACCACACATCCAAATCTGCAACTCATTATGTAGACAACACCATGCCTTAACTATTCTAAAATCCAAGGAATTAAATAAGTAAAATTCATCCGGAGCCGAAATTTGAGCTGCCACGATTCACTGAAGAATGATAAATTGAATCCGGGCAAGCCATTAAATTGGAAGAAACAGAAAATTATGTAATTCAGCGAATTCTCAACGACCGCTTAACTGGGTAGCGCAGGTAGCATTGGACAAACGTTAACTGTATGAACGGAACTAACAGTAAAATCTCCTTAAGGTGCAGCGAGATGCCAGAAAGCTTAAAACCAAAACCCCTCCATATCCGCTCTCTGTGGGAAATGAAAATACGCGGAAGTAGTTGAGGTAGTGCCACACACTACTCACTGCAAAAAACTGTCGGTGACTCTGGCTCCGCACAGTTGCTTAAAAACAAGCTAATAACGATTACCTATATGTGCCACTACCAATTTACATCGAAACGAATGAGCGAATCGTGTAGGGATCGGTTATTCCATTTACGGGTGGCGACCTGCTGCACGGTAGCATTGATGCTTGCTACTGTGCCATTTCCAACAAGTGAACTATGTGTATAGTGTGGACTTCGTGAAATCCATTTTTAATTTGGAATTAAAAGAAATCATTAAAATTAAGGTGTATTACTCTCAAAGAAATTTCGACATTTTCGGCTCCCCAGATTTCCATTCCCCGGTCGTACTGCCCCAGTTCCTGGAAATACTTCCTATCGATGGCGAATAATCCACCAGCCATTGTGGCCGATTGCAGTGGCCGTATGTACTGCTTCGGCTCGTGGAAATAGGAAGCCGGGAAATAATCCCATTTGAATGTCAGCGACCAGGACATGCCACCTTTGCAGACCGGCGACTCGATGTACTTCAGTGTATCCGCATCGATGATATCAATGATCGGACAAACCACTCTAAATTTGCATATAAAAAGCGTTCAAGCGAGAGTTGGGAAACAAGGAAAGTAATCAATACCAACCACTGGTCAGGCTGACAGAATGTTTTTATGGTCCAAACTACTTGGAACACTTAAACGGTCGTACTGATCACAGTATGTCTCTCAAACTGTGCATCTGGGAACTGTCTCAGTTGACGAATATTGCATCGCCTGGTAGTCAGTCTACTAGCGACCTTGACTTTCTCATTCCCTCAAAGTTAGCTTACTAAATTTGCTAATCACGTGGACTTTACATGAAAAGAGGATGTGTAATTTGCTTGGTATTTGAAATTCTCCAATTGTTGATACCTCAAATTTGAGTGCCATTAGAAAAAAAAAGACTTTCGCTAGTTCCGGTTATACTAGTCCTATAAATTATCGAAAATTTGGTACAAGAAGTACTAACGTATGCCTATCGGCTG